GAAATGGAGTATACTACCAATTCAAACTGCAGCAGAAATTTTCTTGTTCAAAAAGAGGGAAAGAGAATCTCTGGCAAAGAGGAAACATACCGAAACACAATATACCCATGACCCTTGAAAAAACCACATAATACTATAACTAGAAGCTCAGTCGTGATAATTTTATCGTGTGGATCTTGCAAACCTATCTAGTTATTTTACTTGAGAGATAAAAATATTATTTCTAGTGAATTATATCAACATACATATGGGGAAAAAGTAATGGAGCGTTTTTTGGAAAATACTGCTTCATTGTCGAGAAAATCCAATTTTTCTATTTCAGGGGCAAGATTGTAGAAAAATGTGCTCATATTTAGCAATTTTGATCATCGTACTTTTATTCACGAGCAAAATACGTGTGATATTTGGAATTAGCAGAAAACGCTGAGTCGAATGACAAATGTTTTAGCGAAAAATATTTTTCATCGAAATTGCACGTAGGTGAAGTTAGGTCAAGATTCGAGTAATTCCCTGCTGGTTTCGTCTGAGGACTCGGTGCAAAGCTCAAACACTTGGTCCAAGTAGATTTCGACATGCTCTATCCGATGGCGTTGTCGGTTTTCTAATATCTCAAAGGATTTCCCAGAAAACCTCAATATAATGTTTTTTTCTATAGGAACTTTCGTATATCTCTGCTGGATTGACCTGAAGAGTTTTCCCATAGCTCATACTCCTGTTCCACGTAGATCTCAGCACGCTCTATCTGATGGCTTTCTCGGGTTTCTGAAAGCTCTTAAGGATTTCGAGAAAACCTCAATATACTGGCTTTTCACCGTAGGGACTTTCGTATATCTCTGTGAGGATTAGGTGGAAAGCTCTTACTCTTGGTCCAAGTAGTAACCAACTCGTGATAATACTTGTTCGCTGCTTCCACAACTGTTCCTCCCAAAATGTTAATATTGTTACACTATATCCAGTAGTTTCCTAGCCAAACACTTGGTCACAAAATCTTCGCTACTTTTGCCGTCAGGAATGTTGGCACCCGTCCGATGTTTATTTTCAATTCGCCGTTGTTCGCAGCAGAATCCACCTTCTCATAATATTTGATTCGCGGTGGATGTGCCAGCGTTAGCAATGTACTGACGTGAATGATTGATATCACTGATCCTGTATCTACCATAGCTTGTATTACTTTTCCCGTCACTGTAGTTCGAATCATAAGTGGTAGTGCGGACTTTGAGTGTTCCAACACCATCACTACCACTTATGATTCGAACTACAGTGACGGGAAAAGTAATACAAGCCATGGTAGATACGGGATCAGTGATATCAATCATTCACGTCAGTACATTGCTAACGCTGGCACATCCACCGTGAATCAAATATTATGACGATGTGGACTGGCGTCGTCATTCGTTGAGCAAAGTGGAACTTAAATCCACATATTAAATACTTTACCTCATGAATAAAATCGTTTCCAGTCGAATAAAAGCCCGCTATAAGCTATTGTCGACAGACACTGAACTGCTTTTTAATCTTTCTGCTTTGTTAGTCAAACCACTGGCACTCATTCCAGTCAGGCGGTGCTGTAGAAATTAATAAATGTTTTTATATGAAAAGGGAATCATCCAAACCAATTTTAAAACAAATCCAAAAAATCTGTTTTCAATCACTTTTGTTCAAAAAGTCTGATTAAAGATTCTGAAAATAACTCTTGTCAAAAACAAAGATCAGAAACAAACTATTCAGGATGAGTTACACAATATATGAACCAGATCATCATGTCCATTTTATTCAATTTATTGCAAAAAGAACTCTGTTCACTGTATTTTTGATATTTCAAACAAACCATGTTATTCGCGGTTACAGAGTCAATGTATCCAGCGAATCATAATACCATAATCAAAGCAAAACAACACCTCTTTAGGGAGATTTGAGCGGCCACTTTTGGCGATAAGAAAAAAAAGAGCTCTTGAACGTATAAAGAGAAATTCTAGGTAAAAGTCAGTACCTTCTGAGCTCGAAGGTAGGCTAACTTTAGTTCGACGATTTAGCTCACTTGTGAGACCCCTATTTTTTTGCCATGAGCCTCAAAATCACTAAATCTTCCACTGGAATATTTAGAATCGTGAGCTCTTTCCAGTCATGTATAATTCAATTGGATAAGCCCAAAAGACTTCTTATCCGCTCCTGTCCTTTAAATTTCTCTCGCCCCATAGCCTTCGAATCTCGACCTCGCCGATCAAGCGTTCCTACGATGGAGCAAAAATTCAGTCATTTACGACTGTTAATGATCGTCAATAGTCGTAAACGATCGGATTTTTTCGCCGCCGTAGGAACGCTTGATCGGGAAAAACAAAAAAGAAGATAAAAACAGCGCGAAAGTTCTCAGAAGAGAAAATTTTACTGACACAATGTTTTTCATCCACACACAACTTGCATCTGCCAATCGGTTTGCTGTGGTCTATTCATCTTGGTGTTCGAATGAATATGCACAATAACGCGACTCGTCATGTTCGACAAATGGAAGGCACGTGCCAATGGGCCATTGCCACATAAACTGTACTTCAAAACACGATCGCGCAAAGCAAGAATCTTTTCCTCTTGAAAGAAGGGTCCGTGCGAGAAAAGTACACCATACGCGTTTCGCAAATTATAAGGTTTATCGTTGAGCGTGGCGTAAAGTTGGGGCGTCAAGATGGTGTCAAGTGTCAGGTGATCGGACATGCACTCGCCGTCATTGTCACAAGCGACGTGTAACCGTTCAAACACTTGCAAGCGAAAGCTCGTGGAAAACGTTTCAACCCCATTCGGTGCTACTGAAAACACAAGCGGCAGAGGGGATGCCACGGTGGCGAAACTCAAGCCCCGTAGCTGCGGCAGGTTGAACACATAACCGATCGATTGACCCAGGCCAAGGATGATCCAACAAATGGCTCCGATACTTGCGAGTTTGTAACGTTGTTTGTATGCGTGTCTCGTTTTGTGGCTGGCAGACAAGAGCACGTCTTTACCGCAAATCATTTCCAACACCCTGCTCTCGACTTCTGGTTGAAAGCCCGTCGGTCTGTCCATTTCTTCTGGATTTTCAAAAGTACCGCCTAGAATGTCCCACAATGGCAGATCGCCATAGTTTTTGCTATGATCGCGTTTGTTGCGTAGATGGTGTATTCTATGCGCTTCTGGACGTTGAAAGAAGTAGCCCACCCAGCGCGGTGTTTTTATGTTCATGTGATAGACATATTCGCCAAAGGCAGCAAAGGCCGACAGCCAAACGCTTGATTCCCTGCTGAGACCGAGCAAAGGATAGAGCAATATTGTCATGATGATCGAATCGACGAGAATCTCTTGGGGTGCCTTGTAAAACGAGGTAATCGCTTCGATTCGCTGTGCACTGTGATGCAACTGGTGAAACCAGAGCCACAGGAAATAAACATTGTGTCGTGCTCGATGGAACCAGTAGAAGACCCACGTATGAATGAGGTAGGCAATTATACCACCCACCATGGGCGACACGAAGTTGCGTAAATGAAACAGGTGTGCATCGGACAGCCACGTCTCCCACGTATACGTGCCAAGAACAACCACCAATAATTGGTATACATTGATCAGCAGGACGCGCTTCCACCAGCCCGGTACATACACCAACGGCTGATCCGGAAAAAGGCGCTCCAGGACCATCAAACATCCTAACCCACTCACTATGATCGACAAGCCAAGCAACATTTTCTTTTCACCGTTTGAATCACACAGAAAAATAAGCAGTCATGTATAGGTGTGACAGCACACTCCGTTTCTCTTTTGCGTTCCTTGGCCGATTATTCATTCAAATATGACACATATATCGCTAGGAGTGGCGAAAACAAGCAGAACAAAATAATTTATATGAGAGAAGGGAAAAGAAATATGCCACGTTGAACGATGGTAATCGTTTTGACAGAAACAAATTTGTTTCCATGCCATTAACATTTCTCTTTCTGCGCACAGTACACATGGCAATTGTGCTTTTCATTTGATTCATCTTAAACATGACATTATCATTATCGACAACCTGTACAAAGTGGTACACCGTGCGTCAATTCAAGGTCTTTCAGTTCTTCTTCGGCTCGTATCTGACGATCCATTTTGCACAGTTAGTTCCTCATGCAACGGAGGTATTTGGCCGGGATGGCATGGTGGCCGATGCACAATGGAATCCAACGTATGGCTATTTTCCAAACATTCTTCCCTTGATCGATCATTCTCCAGCGCTTTTGACTGTTTTTCTTATTTTCTTAACATGCTTATCAGTCGTGTTTGCCTTACGCTGCTTTGCACCGCGTTTCGTCGCTCTTTTGCTGTGGTATGGATGGGCGTGCCTCTTCAATCGCAATGTGCTCATTTCGAATCCCGGCATTCCCTATGTCGGCCTGCTGCTCTTGGCATTCAGCCTCATCACATTTACAAAACAACAAATGGGTGATGATGACAATAAAACACTTGAACTTTGCGTGCAAGTCTTTCCGTGGCTCTACTGGGGCGGTTGGACCTTGTATGCTTTGGGCTACACACTGAGTGGTTTACACAAATTACAGTCGCCTAGCTGGATCGACGGCAGTGCGTTGCATCACGTCTTACAGTCGCCCTTGTCGCGCGACAACGCCTTGTGCCACTATTTACTCAACACGAATCCACTTGTTCTCAAAGTATCCACCTGGGCGTCACTAATAGCAGAAATATCGTTTTTTCCTCTGGGCCTCTTTTATCACACCCGCAAAATATACTGGTTTGCATTTCTCGCTCTTCATGTCGGTGTGCTGTTCGTTGTCAACTTTACTGATCTTACATTTGGCATCCTCACCATGCATTTCTTTCTGTTCGATTCTCGTTGGTTGTTTTAAATAAATATTCCACCTTTCCAAACAACGTTAAAATAAAATGGTTGCTACACCGCTAAAAACGTTGACGTCGCGCTCTATCTGTCTGTTTTCCAGGTCAACTATCTTGCAAAAATCGCGACATGACTCGCGATGAAAAGTGAAAGCGTGAGCGCGTCGCGCGAATAGCAGTCTAGTCGCCAAATGTGATGCTCTTACCGCGATGAAGTGGAATTTCTGCTATACTTTCGATAGACTCGCGGCGTGACTCCCTAAGTCGCTATATGAGTCCCCCTTTCTATCCATTAAACTAGAGCGAATCTTCATTCTCGTTATAGGAATCCCTATGTCGTGACTTGAGTCCTACATTTTATGAAAAAAAATCAGCGCGACAGACTGTTCTTGCTACATGACTCTATAATCGTTACGTGACTTCTATAATCGCTACATGAGTCCTACTTTCGCGAAGCGAATTTTTTCATTCTCGTCATTTTACAGTGTTGTTTTCTTGCCTGGAGTATCATCAAGCCTTGTGATAAAGCTGCCTCGAGTATACCAGTTTTTCTTCTTTGCTACATGTTCATTCAACATTATTTACGATAAATCACAGTAAAATAACAAAACAGAAAGATAAGGATCAGAAAAAGAGTAATATCAGAGGTTTGCATTTCAGGAAGGAAAGATACTTTGTCAGGGTCCAGTTTGGCACTTAAGTGCACCATGTTTTACCGGCTTACCCTTCGGAATGATGCACGTAACAAGTACACAGTTATTTCAGAACAGCATATCGGGTGGAAAGTGAAGAAGTCTTTTTCGCCTTTTCTATTGTTACAAAGTTGAACTAAATGGATTTTTGAAGTATGGCTAAGTCAGAAGGTATTTTGAAAAATCAAATTCGAAAGTGAACGCTTCAAGATTGTGACGGTTGATCTAACGGTATTCACCTATATTTTTCAATTCTAGTTCGCCATGAGACTGGAATTAGATCTGAAATATACGTGAGATAGATTGATATCCTATTGCTCGTCTATGGATTTTACCGTAAGGAAACATTTGCTGTATGTGAAGAAACATCACGCTTGTACTTACAGAGAATGTGTATCCGAGAAATACTAACGCTATGAACAGTTCGTTACTAAAGCCGAGAGCTAATCTAGCATCCTGTGAATGAGATGCTCTGGAACTATGCCGCCATTCTCTGTGCGTCAAACAGGACCGAACTGATCTTCACTACATCCTGTAAGTCACCAACAGCAGAGCCATATTACATCGAGGAAACTCATAGAGACGATAATCAACCATTTGGTGCATTTCTCACTTTAGTGGATTTATTTTGAGATCTTGTAACACGGTCCACATGCTAATTGAACCTACATAGGCCAATTTCTTAGATTTTGTGCATTTTCTGACAAAGATAACCCAGTTTTGGGGGTTCAAACTTTCAAAACCGTTAGGAGAAAAACGGCTCAACTTTGTAACAAATGTAGCAAAAACGAAAGGGCTTATTTTTGTCTGCTTCCACACACTGAAATTGCTGTGTACTTACCACAATTTTAGTTATATATTATTTAATATTGCAAACTTATATATTAAAACAAAAAATTTAAAAAAGCAGTATGTCTCACTATGTGTGTGTTATATAAGTTCAGAAAGATAATATAAGGTATAACACAGAACAAACAAGGCTTGCGCTCTGACGTTTTAAAACTCCTCTACTTAGACCGCAACTCAGCGATAAAAATCGCAAGTCGCGCCGAGACAATCACAGATATATAAGAGTCATTGCACGAATGGGACAGCTTTTTTACCTACTACTTGCTCAATCGATGTTTGAGTTTTGGGCTCAGGATTTTACCATAGGTAGAGGCAACATATATAGGAAGATTCCCAAATTTTTTCGTTCGGACTTACTTCGTTAAAAAGTTATAGAGCTTTTCGTAAAAGGCCTAAAAAGAGCCTGAAACGACACTTGAATAAAAGTCAAATTTGTGATGTTTATATCTTGGTATAGGAAGAATGTTTCTGAACAGGGGCTCTGAGGGGGTTTCTGATTTTCCCGATGGCTCTCAAAGACCCGGTTTTCTGGGGAACCAGTTTTCCAGAAACTTCGAAAAGTCCCTAAAACTTTCTCTTAATATCCCACGCTTGTAGTTCGCGAAATTCTGATTAAAAGGAGACCTCTCTCACCTCTACATGACCTTCCTTTTCAAAGTTATAGAATTTACAAGAAAAGCCCTGTGAGGGCAGAGAATCCTCAATAGAAAGACATTCTTTTTTTAAATGTTATATGTAAACAGGGGAAAAACAGCAAAAGCAGACAATTCTCAAAATGCGGACAAATAACGGACAGCGGACAAATTGCGGAAAAAACTCCAAAATGCGGACCATCTGGGAAGTCTGAACATGTCATCAATATAAGAACATTTAGTCGATCTTCTTATTTTGTGACTTCTGTAAGAAGAGATGTCTACAAGCACAAACACTACCACTACGGTTACACTACGCAAATAATCACGATTATCTTTAATCGTGATTGCAGAGATGGGCAAATGCGCATTTTTCTATGACTCAGACTCGAAGTCGGACTTTAGGAGAAAGACTCGATAAACTTGATAAACTGACTCGAGTCACTTTCGAGTTAGTCACGTGCAACTTGGAGTTGTTATCACGGTGTTTATTATATTTATTGTATACCAGAAGAGAGAGAGATTTGGGAATATTCTAAGTAGAACATTGCGTCACATGAGAGGATTGAAGGTCTGTTCTTGGAAAAATGAATGAGGAGTAAGTTTTCCTCTAGAAAATGACTCGAAGTGACTCAAGATGACTCGAGTCAATTTTTGATGCGACTCGGACCTCGACTCGAAGACTACTGACTCGGACTCGACTCAGACTCGAAAAAGTGGTGAATCGACCATCTCTGCGTGATTGTTAATCATGATTAAACTAGTAGTGTAACCGATACTTTAATCACGATTATTTAAAAATTGCGGTTACACTAGAAAATGCTTAATCATGATTATAGATAATCGTGATTATTTGCGTAGTGTAACCGTAGTGTTAATCTCTTAGTATATACAAAATTTTAAGCTCTCTCCGAATTTGAATGTTTTACATTTCGGAAACACGCACAATCGGAGATATACTAGACTTTCGAAAAATTTAATTAAGACAAAAACTCGTTTTTCGACTCAACTACAACTTCGAAGCCCCAATTTTAGCATCATTAGGTAGAGCACATAAAACTACGTATGCACAAATACTTTTGGACTTTTCGCTCAGTCCTCTCCAAAGCTTTTTCGCTGTTGAACGGAAATAAAACAAAAGTAATCTATATCGGCGTACTTAAAAGGAGAAGCATTTAAGAGCCTTTTTTCTAGCGCAAGAAATAATTAGAATGTTCAAGGTATTATCAAATACGTTTCTTGAACACTTCAAACTCCAATAGTAATTTAATCCGGGGAATTCCCATATGTACTCTTTGAAGTTTATAGAAAATCGCCGAGGATTTTCTAGTTTATAGAAATTCCTCGACGAATTTCCAGCTTTCTAGGAAATGTTGATTTTCTAGTTTATAGAAAATCGACTTGAATTTCCATAAATTCGATTTTCTATAAAGGTAGAGAATCGCTGAGGATTTTCTATAAATAGTTTCCAAGAAGGCGTTTTGAGAGGCTTTTACAAAGAAAGATGCGTTCGCTACCCCAAATACAAAATTGAGATCAGGATTGCTAAGTCGTCTTTTCGGAATGAATTTTGACTTTCCGATTTTTTTCGATTTTTAATTCGATTTCGTAAGTAAAATAAGTAAAACTACAAAGTGTTAGAGAAAACATTTTTTTGATTTCTCGTGCGTGAAAACGGTTGAAACTAGGCCATAAAAATTCCTTCCGTTTTTTTTCCGCATTCGGACAGGGATTTTCGGCATTTTGGAATCTTTATTCCGCATTTTACGTTTTCATTACGTTTTCTAGTGACGTTTTATGGTTTTTTATGTGTATGCGAATTCTTTTAAGAATATGTGCTTTTGAGAAAAAAGCAAAAAGCTCTAGAAATCGAAAAAAATCGGAAAGTCAGTGAAGACACTCGTATATATAAAAGTGATACGAAAAATTGAACAAGTTAAATGATAACTTTAAAGTGCACAACAGTTTAGCAACAAAAAGGAATTTCAAAAAAGCGAGCTATACTTTTTATCTTCGTTTCAAGGCGATTCTTTTGGCGTATAAATGAGAGCAGTAGCCAAACCTATCTATAGATAGGTTTGCCAGGTGAGGATCTCAGATTTTCTGAAACTGAACGATTTTTCGCTATTTTAGAACCTCTGAGTATTTTCGATTTTTCTCCGCAAAAACGCGCTCTAATCGAGGTGAAAAGGTGATATTCGGAATCAGTTCGATAAGATCTATCAGAATATGTGTGTTTAAGGCAAAAATAATATCTTATGGAAACTGTGAATTAGCGGCGCCTTAATTTCAGTCTACGAATTCATTATCGATTAATGTAACTTCGTTCGTTTTCAACCTTTGTGATATGTAAAAATAACCGTCACGAATATGTTTAGGTAATTTTTCGTAAAATTTTATTGTGCGCTGCACATAATAACAAATTGAATATAATGACGCCATAGTCAAAAGTTAAATTGAGGCTACACTGTAAGGTTGGAAATTATTTATGGAAAATGTTCGACGATCTTCAAAGAGTACATATGGGAATTCCCCGAGGATTTTCCAGTTTACAGAAAATCGAACTTTCAATCTAAAAAATCATCCTTGATTTTCCATAAATAATTTTCAAGAACGTAGAAATTCCTTTTTGATTTTCGATAAACTGGAAATTCCTCAATTCATAAGCAGAATTGTGATCTAAAGTAGAAACTGTCAAAGTTGATTTAAGTGTAATATAAGTGTCTTTATGTGACGCTCTTATACCTGCACTGATTGCAAAAGAAAAAGATGAATAAGTATTTATTCTAGAAATTCCTGGGCGAATTTCCACTTTATAGAAAATCGTCGAGGATTTTCTAGTTTATAGAAAGTCAAAGTCGAATTTCCAGATTCTTGGAAATTATTTATAGAAAATCCTCAGCGATTCTCTACCTTTATAGAAAATCGAATTTATGGAAATTCAAGTCGATTTTCTATAAACTAGAAAATCTACATTTCCTCGAAAGCTGGAAATTCGTCGAGGAATTTCTATAAACTAGAAAATCCCCGGCGATTTTTCGGGCGATTTTCTATAAACTGGAAATTAATTCAAGATTACAGTGTTCGTCTCAAAAGAGATACTTTTTTTTGCAAACTCACACTCAGTTTTGTATGTCCCCCCTTGATGTTGTTTGATCTTGCAAAGTCAATTAGTACAAGTTTCGTAAATTGACCATGTATTGTCAGCGAAAGCTGATTAGACACGATCATCAAACTCGAAAAAGTTAAATAATGTTGAAAAATGCGCAGTTTTCTGTCTAAACTCGTTTTAGCTTTATGTTTTGGATACGAGCATAAACATTACAAAAGCGATAGGGCACAGTTACCTAAACATTATTCAGTATAGCGAACTGTGCAAAACAACTCGAAAATTATACGCGATCGATACAAGAACTTATTTCAGGAGTCTGCTTTATTTCAGTTTTGTGAAAAATTCTAAATATATAAATGATGTTATGAACACTCCATGTATTTTTAATTAATTTTCAATTAATAATTGTATCATAACTGTAAAATAATTCTTTCATAATGTGTATCATTATAAATCTTATTATAATGATCGGCACAGTGGCGTTCATCCGTCCGTCAAAGTTTCAGACAATTAGCCACTTAACGTTTTGCAATCCCTGGCTCCATTAAAATCGCGTCCCACTTCTGAAATTTTTAACAATTATTAACCGACTATTGAAGTAAAACTCACCGCTACAATAATTCACAATGCTTAAAATCTTAGATCGATAAGTTTAGTTCTCTTTCTTCCTTTCATTCAGAGTTCATACCTCCCAAAAAGTTTTTATTTGAGGCAGTTTGCCTCAAGCACACTAAAGGATGAACGCCACTGGATCCACAGATACATTTTTTCAAACACCTTTAGCTTTTAAAAGTGTCTGACCGCATCCTGATATTTATTATCCTGAGTTCTTCATCTTTTTTAATCTTGTTTCACGGTCTGAGAACCAGTAATTGAACGATACTATTTAAACATTAAACGGTATGGGGAAAAAATTCACAATGACTAGAGTAAAAACGTATTTCATGCTCAAGGTTTCATGCGATCAGATGCGCGTTATTGATAAGATACAATGAATCATCTAACATCTAATCTGAAGTCTTCCCTTCATACGAAGATATTACATAAAATATAAATTAAGAAAATGCTTTTTACTATGTATAATAATATTATATGTATACATAATCTGCGCTCGAAGACCATGTGCAGAATCATGCGACATCTACCGAGCTGTAAAGACATTGCATGAAAGCCTAGTCAATGAACAGTGAGAAAGAAAAGAAAAAATTTTATCGACAGCGGCCATTTTTGGCAGGTACTATTGGCAGGTAACTTCTTATACAACGTTTTGGCAGCTATTATTCGCATATAACTTCTTTCAGAGCATTTTTTTACTATGAGCATTATTTGTAGCTAAAAAGAAGCAACGAAAAATGTTTGATAAGAACTTTTCGATTTTGAGACCCGATATTTTTGTCAACATTAAAAAGGATACAGCTAATTATTAGCAAGGATGCCGTTCGAGGATAGCACTGAGCGTTCATTTAGATTGCTAATTCATTTTTTAATAAGTTTCACTGCTGAAAAGAATATTCAACACTGTCAATATTTCCAAGTGAGAGTGACGCAACAATTTTATATTGGAAAAATCTTCAGTAACCGAAGATTTTCCCAATCTGAAGTTTAGTTACTTTTGTTTTTTGTAAGATCTTTGATAATATTTTTAGATATTTAATAATTATTTGTTGTACGAAATGGATAACGATGTTTTTTCCTCAACGAGATTACATGATAGTAATGATGTAACGTTACACAATAGTAGTAATACAAGTACAACAGATGCATTAGCTAATTCAGAAACATTATTATTATCACAAAATGAACGATTAACACCGATTGAACCAATACATAAAAAAGACATTATTATAACACCACAAAGTGTGAATAGCAGCGATAATCCAGTATTAAGTAATGTCATGAATGACACAAAAAATGGTATTGCTGATAGAAGTAGAAATGATAGTAATATAATCGAAAATGGTATTAATGGTGATGCTGATGATAGTCGAACGACGATGGATGATGTCTATCATGAAGGGTAAAATTCTTCTGATTAGTAAGAGCCGCTTGTCAATACCGTTTGTTTATTAGGCGTTGGATGAAAAAGTTTTACCGAGGCAGCGAGTATCGAGAGTGATAAAAGAGAGAGTTCACATGGAAAACAGAAGAAATTGGCTGTATTTATTGCGATTGATTACTAAAATCAAATATAGAGATTTTCACTGGGATGAATTAAGAAAATTGAGAGGTTAATAACCATCACGTAGTTGGCTGTTAACGATTTTTTGTTTTCTCGTTAAGAAATCCGATGCTGAACAAATCCTTTGATGTGTTACCACAGTTGAGAAAAGAGGACGAATATGTAAGTTTAAGATTTAGTTGTGTTTTACCAAAATAGAATATAGTTAAACATCATATAATATTATTATATCTCGATTTCTGTCGTTCAACTTTATATATTTATCTATACCTATCGTTGTACGGTAGCAACAATTACCACTGAATTTTTTAATTATATGTCTTACAATTTCTCTTAAAATTTTACAACCATATTGAATATTTGTTAATACGGTTAGAAATGATTTTTCTTTTATCATTGATATGCGCATCATTATGTGTGATCGAATAACTAATAATTATTAACATTGATTTAAAACAATATTTCACGTTCGCTGTTCATTAGTGTTGATTTTAGTAGCGTAGTTAGTGCTTGATAAGTAGTACCACTTGACAGCAATCTTTGCAGCTTTTTATAAAATAAAACTCTAAGATTCCTGACTAAATGATGTTATTGTAGAAATGATATACCTTCATTGTCGTTTAATTGAACGTTTCGAACTATGTTAGGTTTATAGTGCAGTTTACTACTCAAACTCACACAAAGCAAGTCTATGGTAGAATATGATGAAAACTTTGTTCGAACGAGAAAAATATCTAGTGGTTCATATCTGATATGAGTACGATCAAATCGCATAGTAAATGTAGAAGAATGTTTCTTTGAAGAGTTTTCATCATAACAATGATTTTTTGTTAGACATTTCATAACTGTTCGATTTGGTTACTATTTATCTCCATGCCACTAATCTGTAGAACATTATCTATTTGAATCTACCAGATATTTTTCTTGAACATATATGTTAATGATAGTTATTCAATTTTGAGATTTTGTTTGCCTTTGTTTATCATGTGTTGGTACTGATTTTTATATTATTTCCAAATGATATAATAATGATTCAGATATCAGTCAGCTGTCATAATTATACATTACTAATTATATATAAGGTATGGAAAAAATTTTCACAGAACTTTTGTAATCGATACATCTCTGCTCAAGTATTCACTCAAGTATTTTTAACAAGTAAATAGCCATTTTAAAGAGCATTTGAAACTGTTCTTATGGTGCAAAAATGAGGGTGACAGCTCAAGAAATAAGAGAGATAT